TGTCACCTATCTCCCCTGGGCTTGTACAGGGGGGTCTTGCATCATCCCCACGCTGCAAGTCCTGGAGGGCCTCTCTGTATCCACATGGCACAGAGAAATATATTTTCATTTATAATTTGTTCCCTGTTCCCGGCCGCAAAAGATTCCCTGGTGTTAGGTCCAGACAGGACCCTTCACCTTACAGACTCCGCGGTACGCCTAGAAGTTAGTAAATATACAGAAATAGTTCTTTTATTAGTACCCCCTTTTTATTTTAATTTGCTTGGAATAAAAACCGGTGCCTTCACTTATCACAGTTTGGTAAGGCCCTGTTCTGTAAACATAAGTATAGCTATGTGCTTCTTCTGAAATCACTTGTCCACAGGACACCTGACCAGGTAAAATTAGTCTTTTTGAGGCAAACAGGTTTCTCCAGTAAATATCTATTACTCCAGCAATAAGCTGAGAACTGGGAGGTGGGGGGTCCTGTGGTGTGTCTCTCCTTTAGCCACAGGCACTCCCAAGCACACAGTTTCTGTGCAGGCAACACTTGTGCCTGGTCGTGCCTGTTTGCTGACCCAAATCTGCTGGGGCAGGGTGTTATGTTTTTCTCCTGTTTGTGCGTGAAAACCCTGGACATGGCAAGAAGGCAGTAGCCCAGTGGAGCGGGGTACCTGGGACTCCTCCAAGGAGGGCTGGGGCCTGGGTTAGGGGCTTCCAGGGACTTGTGGCTTCCAGGTTCTGCCACACGTCCCCTGCAAGAAACCTACCAGTGTGTAAGCATGTCTTGGTCCCCCAGGTCTCTACTCTACCACTTGGCTCTCCAGTGGCTCCAAGACAAAGCTTAGGCAGGATTCTCATGGGATTACAAATTCCTAGGGCTGAGGAAGTGAGGAGCGAGTTTACTCCTTGGGAAAGATGATGTGATTTTTGAGTTGGGCACGTGGAGAGGTTAAATGTCACACTCAGGGCAAGCACCCAGGAGATCCTAAACTGGCTTTTCCCTTGCTCCCTGCCCATACCTCCTTCCTCTCTG